GAGATGTATTGCATGTAAACAAGCTAAGTCTACAACTAAACCACATGGCTTGTATACGTCTTTGCCTATTCCGAAGCATCTGTGGGTTGATATTTCAATGGATTTTGTGTTAGGATTGCTTAGGTCTAAGCATGGTTGGAATTCTATTTAAGTGGTTGTTGATCGGTTTTCAAAGATGGCTCATTTTATACCCTGTCACAAAATCGATAACGCATCTCATGTTGCTGATTTGTTCTTTCGTGAGATTGTGCGTTTGCATGGCATGCCTAGGTCCATTGTTTCTGATTGAGACACTAAATTTCTTAGCTACTTTTGGAAAATATTATGGAAGAAGTTAGGTACACAGCTTTTATTTTCTACTACTTGTCATCCATAAACTGATGGTCAAACTGAGCTAGTTAATAGAACTTTAGGGGTATTGTTGCGTGCTATAATTAAAAAGAACATAAAGTGTTGGGAAGATTGTTTGCCACATGTTGAGTTTGCATATAGCAGGAGCATGCATTCTGCTACTAAATTTACACCGTTTGAAGTTGGTTATGGCTTTAATCCTTTAACTCCATTGGATTTAACCCATTTGCCTATTGATGAGCGTATGGACTTAGATGGTTCTAGGAAGGCCGAATTTGTCAAGGCATTGCATGAGAAGACGCAGTTGAATATTGAGCACAAGACCAAGCAATATGCAAAGCAAGCCAACAAAGGGCGCAAGAAAGTAGTGTTTGAGCCCGGCAATTGGGTTTGGGTTCATATGCGCAAGGAGCGTTTTCCCAAGCGGTGACTTTCTAAGTTACAACCGCGAGGGGATGGACCATTTATGGTGTTGGAGAGGGTTAACGATAATGCCTACAAGCTTGACCTTCCAGGTGAGTATGGTATTAGTACTACTTTCAATGTTTCTGACTTAACTTTTTTCGATGCAGAAGATGATTTTAGGACAAATCCTTTGCACGAGGGAGGGAATGATGTGGATATCGTGACATATCGAGGAGGAGGTGCTAGGGACCCATTGTCCTATCCTCTTGGTCCGATTACTCAAGCAAGGGCGAAGCAATTCAAGCAAGCTGTTGGTATTATGGTTCGAGATCTTTGGAGTGGAAGCGATCTTGGATCGGGACTTGAAGAATCTTGGACTTCTTGGCGCAACACGATCAAATTTGGTCAGTTGCAAGGAAACGGGCCGCTGATTAATACTCACCGCTAATGCCGTGACGAATGTCGTTTTTTTCGCGTTTCAGAGTAGTTTTGATGGTTTTTTTTAAAGTTTTTTTTATTTAAGCGTTTTTATTAATTCTAGTGGCGTTTTTGTAATTTTGCGTTTAGGGTGAACACCATATAAAAAGGGTGTTTAGGGTTTCTTTAGAAGGGATGATTCAGTTTAATACGACGAGAGGTTCTTCTCTTCTTTGAGTTCTCTATGGACTTGACCTTATCAAGGTCTTCCTTGTGGCGGTCGATTCGACTAATCAAGCAGGATAGCGAATTCTCTTGTTCGTGGCGTCTATAACGTCGATTGGTTGACACAAGTTCGTCAACAGGTCATGTTTATACCGAGGTTACCAATCACAGGTTCGATTGGGGGTCGAGGTTTTGTGATTCGCACTTTCCAGATCTTCGTAGAACGATCAACTTCCGCTCAAATTTACTTCAAAGCCTTTTCAGGTACCTTTGATAAGATGCGGGTACTTCGACAAAGCAAAACCCTATCAAGGCTGTCGAAGATAGGTTTGGGTCCTAAACAAACAAAATCTCATCAAGGCGACCGAAGATAGATTCGGGTCATAGACAAGTGAAATCTAGTCAAGGCGATCGAAGATAGGTTCGGGTCCTCGACATACAATATCAACTGCGCAAAATTATTCTACTCTCATGGCAAGGTAAGTAGTCTTAGGTATGTCTTTATTTGCTTTAGCATGAATCATCTTATATCGCATAATAAAAAATATGACCCATGGTCCTGCCAAAAATAACATTCATCGTACATGCATGGGTCAAATTTAGATGTCATTTTATCTTTGAATGCAATCTCTACTAGCTCAACTTTTGTAAGCTCACCTTCAAAGAGGGGCAGTTGATGACACCTATTTTCTAATTTTTGTCCAAAATTAGCTATGCAAAATTTAGGAGTTAATTTCTTAATCAATTCCTAAAACAAAAAATATATTATTTTTATCTAATTGCATTGCATATAGACATTAGACACATTTACATTAATAGGGCCTATTAGAGCATATTTTCTTAATTAACTTTAAAAAAAATTACAAAATTATAATTTTTTTAACAAAAATTATAAAAATTTAAAAAAAAATTCGGGTCGGACCGGGTCAACCCGACCCTTTCTTTTTCCCCCCGCGTGGGCCCAGCCTGCTTCTTTTTTTTTTTTTCTCTCCCCTCCGCGCGATCTAAGCCCGGCCCGGCCCGGCCCAACTCTTCCTTTTCCTTCTCTCCCCGCTGCTGATCTTCCTCCTCTGTCTTCCTCTATTTTTGGCCATCGAGCCAACGGACGATGGAAAAGCCTCGACGTCCCGATCAGCCACAACGGGCAGGTAAGGGAGCAGCGAGGGAGGGCATTGATGGCTAGTCCAATCTCTCCCCCTTTCCCGGTCTCTCCCCCTCTCCTCTTCCCCTTTTGGTGGCCATGTAAGTCAAGAAGCAGAGGTGCCATTTCCCTCCCTGCACCAGCCTAGGGTGGCCACCACAGTCGTGGCTCAGTCTTTGGCCGATGCAAGGCCATTACGGCCATGACTTCTGGGGCGGGACAGGTGGCCGGCGACCCCTATAAAAGCCGGAGAATTGATAGAGATAGGGGAGGATTTAAGGCAGAACACAAAGAGAGACAGAGAGAGAGAGAGAGAGAGAGAGAGAGAGAGAGAGAGAGAGAGAGAGAGAGAGAGAGAGAGAGATTTTCATGGATTTGAGAGCTAAACAAGAGAGTCTGCAAGTCGCCGAGGAGTACCAGCAACCCCGTCGTTGCCAACAGGATGACCGGAGATCCCCCCGGAAGCGGTACCGATCGGTGAGTCTTCCCGATCTCACCAAAGCCCTGTTTGCCCCTATTTTTTAGTAAGGTTTGGCCAGGACTCGCGCCGGCCGTTTCACACGAATTCCGATCCATACCGTCATTCCCCGTAGTCCATACGTCGTCGCCGAAGGCAAGAGTAGGTCGCCGGAAGATGCCGGAGCCCCGAAGTAGGTCAAAGTTGCTTCATTTTGTCTCTACACGCCAGGTGCTCGACGAAATGCCTCAACGAGGATGATTTGATTTTGCTCGCCGGCCGGCAAGCATGTGGCCGGACGGCGAGCTAAGTGGCTATAGGAGCTCGGTGGTGGTCCATAGAGGCCGGATTTAGGCTGGAGCTGGCATGGGTTGGCCAATGAATGGCCGATTTTTGCTCAGCCGGCGTCCCCGCGTGCTTGTCCACACGGGAACCGACTTGACCCGATTCATGATCCGGGTCAATGACTCGGGTTGACTGCTTAACCCGGTTCGGATCCGAAGATTCGACCCGGATCAACGCTTTGGACCGGATTCGTTGACCCGAGTCGGATTTGACCCGACCTAGGTCTGTCGACCTAATCTGGTTTTTAATATTATATTAATATCATATTTTATTTTTAAAAAAATATTTTCAAAAAAATTTTAAAAAATTAAAATTTTTTGCCGTATTTATTATTATTATTATTATCATCTCTAAAAAATAAAAAATAAAAATATATAATTTTTTTTCTTCTTTTAAAATTAGGAAATAGTTTAGAAATTAGTATTTTTTTGAATATTTTTCTAAATTATGTGAATTATTTGTTTAATGATCATGTTTAAATCGGATAATCCTATAGGGCTATGCAATAGTATTTTGCATGTTAATTTCACTACCGTTGTAATATTATTATGCATGTTGTTTTTAATTAGAATATAATTGCACAAATTATTGTATTTTGAATGCTATCGCCTTAGTTAGGGTTAAAGCCCTAGGCTGCATATCTATCTTGACTGCTAATCGTTAATGATTGAGTACTCGTTTGATCACCTCACATGTTAGGAAAAAGGTCCTAAAATCAATCTAAATTGCCTGACAAATGTTTTCTGAAATGAATAGGGTAAAAAGGTACCGAAAGGGCACTAGTTATTCAACTAGCGTAACCAAATCCCCGAACTCATTTAATCTCTGGTTCATAGGAGTAGGATGATTCTCCCGTCACTTTACTTGGGTGTCTAATCGACTTACCCCAAACCGATTAGTGGCGACTCCTAAATAAAAACCATTTGCAAGTTAAAAACCTAAACTTTAAGTCACGCTATGATATGGGCTTGGGAGAGCCTGAGTTAAGTCCCAAACATAGACTTAGCGCGTACCAGACGAGACCCCCCTTTTTATGCCAAAAAGTCGGAGGTTGGTCGTGACAGGACTAAATTGGCAAATAGTCAATAGGTTTATGACTAAATTGACGCGATTGAAAAGTTTATGACTGAATTGGCAACTTTTTAAAAGGTTTAGGATTGAATTGGTAATATTGAAAGGTTTAGGACTTAATTGGCTGCCGTACAATAGGTTTAGGACTTTTTGGACAATTTTCCTGCCTTTAAAACATGCTTGGTTGATTCTCCATAATATTGGATTTAACAATATTCATTCTATTTTAAATTTCACTTGGATAATTGTAAAATTGAATTTATGTATTTGACTAATTTTTGAATAATAAACCAATAAATTAAAACTCACGCACTTATTTGTAATTAAATTTTTTTTCTGAAAGTATCTTGATTTCAAATTAAGTGGATTTTGGACAAAACTACTGTCGTTTTCATATTTGTGCTTAACAAATATGCATCAAACCACAAAAGTTATATTTGGAATAAGTGGATTTTTAAACATAAAACTAGATAAAATGTGAACTTTCAAAAAACTTGCAATTGTTGTTTTGATGGAATACATTTAAGAATACATTTGAAGATACTTTCTTTTGATCTATTTTTTATTTAAATTAGTAACTGATAAAAGTTGAAGATGGCAAATCACTAAAGTAATGCTAATTTAATTAGTGAATGTGTACACCATGTGGCAATCACAGAATTGAAGTTGATTGTCACGCGACGAACATAGCAGCGAGCATTTTCTCGGCTTCGGCCTTAACTATAACTAGTATATTTGCTTCTACAATGTCGCTTTCAATTTAAGGCAATATGCCAAGGACACACAGGCAAAGTGACACTAACTTTCATGATTTCGTACATCCAAAGGGATTACATCCCGAAACTTCTGCCTTATACCTGTAGATATGTAATGACTATGACCCTATGATTGTATATGGATCGATGACATATGTAGACACAACTAAGGACCCTGGCTTGTATCATTTTCTGACTACACATCTTCTTCACAACGTAGAAGCATCTCAGCCACTTGGCTCATGGTGGGTCTTGCATCTCGGTCTTCTTCCACGCACTTAAAAGCCACTGCAACTAAAATTTCAATCTTCATAATGTCATATTCCCCTCTTACGCTTGGATCCACAATTTCCTCTATCAACGTCTGCAGTGGAACTCCGAGTCTCTTCTTCTCTCGCACCCACGAAGTCAATGTTTGATTCTCCTCCACATCACTAGCCTCAATCTTTTCGTATTCTCCAGTTGGACTCCTGCCAGTCACCAGCTCCAACAAGACAATCCCATAGCTATACACATCCACTTTGGAGGTGATTGGGAAGTTGTAAATCCATTCGGGAGCCATGTAGCCTCTTGTCCCTCGGATCTTTGAGAAGCTCGAGTTCTTGAGGCCCTCTCTCTTGAGTAGTTTAGAGAGTCCGAAATCCGCCACCTTGGGTTGGTATGTGGAATCAAGTAGTATGTTTTGTGGTTTCACATCACAATGAAGAACCCATTCCAAGCACTCTTCATGAAGATAAGCGAGTCCCCTGGCTGACCCTACGGCAATTTCAAACCTCTTGTTCCAATCGAGTTCAGTTGGAGATGACAAATTTTCTGCTAACGAACCATGTTCCATGAATTCGTAGATCAAAAGCCTGTGCTTTCCTTGTGCGCAGTAACCCCACATGTCAATCAAGTTCATGTGGTTAAGATTTCCTATGGTGCTCACTTCTGCGAGAAACTCATTCTCTCCTTGGTTAGCCACATTGAGCCGCTTGACCGCTGCAACCCTGCAATCTGACAATACGGCCTTGTATACAATTCCTCCACTTCCTCTTCCAATTTCTTCGCTGAAATTCCGTGTTGCCTTCTTTAGCTCATCGTACGTGAACCGTCGGAATCCAGTCAGCCCTGCATGGTATCCATCGAAGTGAGCCCCACCTTTCTCTGGGCGGGTTCTATATAAGAAGAACCAAACCATGAGTACCAATATCGCCTCCACTCCAGCTATTGCCCCAGCAGAAATGAGCAAAATCTTGACTGCCCAACTCCCTTTTCTTTTTAGAAAAGTCCTTGGTAACATAATTTCTTTGGCAGTACATTGCAGAGTTGCATATTCTATTTTCGGTACGTCGTAAGAGGAGAGATTGAATTTTGGGAGCTTGAAGTGGATGCCCCCATCAACACTGGGTGAATAACGGCCATTTAACAACAATAACTTGGGGTAACAGTTAGAGAATTTATACTGGAAACCTAAGCAATTACACAAATCCAAACATAACTTCTTGCACATCTCCGGAGTATAACCTGGGAAGAAGCCTTTGTCATACCCGTAAAAATCAGAATGTGGTAACTCGACGAATTCGGTCTCGACTTTGCTATCACAGAAGCTGTTGAATTTGGGTTTGCATCCTTGAGTCCAGTCATAAAGGTTTTCCCACTCATATCCCGGAACACAAATGCAACTTCTTCCCTCGCTAGGATGGTATGTACACAGGCTATTAGGTCCACAAATGCCATGAACTGTGCATGGGTCAGAAAAGGCTTGCCATGAAACCATCCATTCCCCTCCATCAGATCGACTGTAAACCCGAATACTACCATCGTGATCAACCGTCAATCTCCTCTGAATTTTTGTGCCATAATCAGCTGTCAAGAAAGTCAAATTATCTGATGAAACGAAATACCCGTAAGGATCAAGCATTGCAAATCTACTATCATTATAAGTTGTTCTTCCAGCGTCCCAACTTTTAAGCCATGGATCTGGCCAATAGACACTTCTAATCTTAGGGCCAATGAAAAGAAGACGAAGAAGGTTATCGTTGTCAAAGTAAAGCCTGTAATAGCCAGAAGAAACGTTGTTCTTGCTTCGATAGGAAACGAGCGGTGTGTCTGGGGTGAGCTTTTGGTCTGGAAGAAGCGTGTTGGTTGGGGAGTCAAAGCTTTGCCACGAAACAACATGCTGTTTGTCACGAAGGACAAGATTGCCAGTGTCAAGGAGTTGCAGCAACTTCATTGATGACTGGGAGGATGAACCAGTGCTTGTGGCCCAAACAACCGCACGATCAGCATCGATCAGTACAAGGTCACCATTCTTTCTTAAAGAAAGCTTTGAGGATCTTCCGTTGACGGGCTGGTCGCGATTTGCCATCCAAACTACGGTGCAGTTATAGATACTACAAGATGGTTTGCTGAACCATATGGCAAAGCAATAAGCGTTTTCTCCAACGGAATGAAAGCCTGCAGAAAAAGCACCGTCTTCCGATGCCAAAATATCATCAGGTTTATCGACTGAAAGGGAGGAGCCTTCAAGCAAAGTAAGGCGAACTGAAGATGCAAGTGAAAAAGATAAGAACAGTGAGAAACATAGCAAGAGAAGAGGATTTCTCATGGCTTTGATTGGATTTCAGGTGATCTGTTATGTGCTATTACGCATATGAGGCGTTACCAAATTGCACTATGTTATATAGAACTTTTTGTGGTGGAGCATTGGAACAAACTGGCTCTGGTCAAAACATTGATGTATGCAGATATATTAGGGTTCGGTTGGTGTTTCATGAGAAAAAAGCATACTTTGACCACCGACCATTACCTTTCTCTTTCCTAATCTCTGGCAATAACTGGACCGAGGGAAGAGGTTAGGGGGACCCGCGATTGAAATACCGTAGCAATGTCACTCCATTTAAAATTGGGTTAATATCCGAAAAGCCCAAAATCGGTACATCTGTGATAGATTTACCTCAAACTAATTTTTTAATCACCAAAAATCCCAAAATGATACACTTGTGACAAATTTATTCTCCGAAAAATTGGATTAATACCTCGAAAAATCACAAATTTACAAACTTGTTACAAACGGAGAGGTAAAACCCCAAATTTGTACACCTCTCAACTATTACGTGTCATCCAATTCGGCAATTTGACAGTAAAATTTAATGGAAATTAACTAAAGGTAAATTTATCACAAGTGTATCAGTTTGCGGTTTTCGTGATAGTAACCCTTTAAAACTTGAGACATACATTGATTGTTCCAATCCAAAAGCATAAGGTATAAATTGTTGGGATAGCGCATTGTAGATAAGGTCTTATCAAATTCAGTACCCAAGTGAGGTGACATGATATTTTAACACCGCTTTTCGTTACAATCATATGGAAGAAATTAAGCATGTCTAATTGAAAAAAAAAAAAGGGAGCCACGCATACGTAAAATAAATATGATGTGTGAAGATTGCAGAAACTTGACTCTGATACTATATTAAAAAATCAAATCCAAAAACTTATACTATTCGAAGGAGGAAGATCACGTATACGTAAGGCATATAGTCGAACCTAATAGTCAAGTAAGTTAGGATAATACTTTTAACGACTTTGACCGCTAAAATTTTAACCCCAAAACCACGGATTTACTCGACATTGACAACCTCAAAGTTTTGAATAAATTAGGACCTCATTAGAACGATGTTTTGTCGATTTTAGGACTAACTCGGAGGACTTGAAACAGGCTAAAATGGACCGCCCCTATCGGCCAAAGGGACGACATCACATCAGGATTTGGGTAACCTTCCAAATGAGACTACAACGTATTATTGCTAAGAGCTAGACGTGCCCCCAATTTAAGGCAACAAATAAAAACGATGTTGAAAAGTTGGACATCTTGATAGTCATAAAAAACCCAATAAAAGTAGTGACATAAGTCTATGTTTTGCCATCTTATCAGTAGGACTGCAGACTTCTCTAATAAAAGGCCATACGTATTAATTCTAACATAAATATATGTGAGCCATGGAATTTTAGAGAACTCGCATAAACAATGGGGCATATATGGGTGGTTCAACTATATATAGACGAAATCTCCCCTAAACTTTTGATACGTGGCAAAAATCCCGATCCCTTACCACTTTCACGTGCCTCTATGGACACAGGTTACCTTCTGGATGAGAGGTCTTGCTAAATATACATGACCCACAACAATTTACCATTTTGCCTTCTAGTCGCTCATATTCAATAGGTTCGTATGCAAGTTAGGTACACAATGAATTTTCTCTTTGAAAGCATTCTTTGTATAGTACGAAAAGGACTAGACAGAAAATCGAAAAGGACATGCTTTACCAAGTACTTCATTTATTAGTAGCTCCTTCAAAGGTCAAGACATTTGTAAATTTAGAAGAATTACGGGGGGAAAGTGCAAAAGTCAAAGAATATGTGTTATATTTTGGTAAGAAGCACCAAATTGTTCTTTATGAGATTGGTTGAATCTACTTTGCGAGAATGAGAACATCAGTAGAAAAGAGAAGTTTCCAAGGGCAACACAAGTGGAGAGGAAATACAAACTTCCATTAATTTAAGTTCATCGACAACATTGAATATTTTCTTATAGTTTAGAGACTAAATTGATCATATATCAAAAGTCTAGGGATCACATTGAACCAATTGAAAGTTCAAAGACCGCATTACAATATAGTTCAGGGACCACATTACATATCGGGCCAAAGTTTAGGGATTATTTGTGCTATTTTCTCCTTTCTTCTTTACTAAGCATGATAATGATATGTTGGAGATGCTTTAAACACATCGGTGCCGTCACGACAAAGAAATTCATTTTTCATATGTCAATTCCGAGTTCATGGAATGCTCCAATATCAACTTGGATGAAAGGGTGAACGATTAGGAAAATTATTCAAATCTCACAGGTACGTTTTCCAAGGGTAATTCCAAGACGAGTGGTGACGACATAGAGGCGAGTCATGCATTCGGGAGGGCTTGCCACTTGCAATCTTCTCTTCCACCATTGATGGAGGAAGCACATGGAGGACCACGAACAAGTCTAATCGAAGATTCGGACACAACTTCGAAGAGAAGCAAGACCGTCCACATAAAATGTACATCTACCCGGTACAGTCATCCATAAGTGGCGACTTTAGTTAGAGCACAGAATTATTTTATCGATTGACTAAGTTAGCCTCTGTTGATTTTGGCTCGAAGTTTCCCATTTGACTCAAAATCGGCTCATGTATATGTTTGTCAAGGCTCTCGGAGTGTTTTAGGGGGGGGGGGGGGGGGGGGGTGGGGTTGCATGGAGACGAAAGCAGATAACGGGAGATGTGAGGAAACCGCCAAGCACTTGGGCGAACCAGACCACCAGGCAAGCGCTCGGCCAAGGAGTGGCCAAGCTGTTGAGCAGGTTCAGGCACCCGGACAAAGCTTGTCGGGCACTCAAATAGTGTTCAGAAGCTATTGCGTTTTTTCGGCGAGGTAGCCAAGCACCCGAATTTATGTTAGAGGGATCGCGCCCAAGTGATCTCAATCCAGATTTATTGAAATCCTAATCTTAGAGCTCATTTTTAGAAGAGAAACTTGTGAGGAATTTAGAGAGCCATCGTTTAAGAGAACCGAGAGCACGAGAATACTCCTCTTACGTGATAGATACTTGTAGGTTTTGAGGTACCTAGGATTGGGAAACGCTTTAGTTTAAACATTTTGAGCGATTGTAATATTCTCTTTTCCAATTATAGTGGAACCATCTCGTCGATCTCTCCCTATGGAGTAGGCATATCGCCGAACCAAGTAAGTTCATTGTGTTTAGGTTTTATTTCTGCAATTTATTTTTTACTCAAATCATTTCATATGTTCATGCATTCCCGTTAGTTGTAACAAATTGGTATCAGAACATAGGGTTACTACTTATTGATATCCTGAGAATTTTGGTTATCAACGATTATCGCTCTGGCTTCTACAAAACTCACGTTGGAGATATGTACTGGCATTAGCGTAGGAGGGAGGTGAAGATGATAAATTTGCCTAGGGTATGAAAGTGGAAGAAAAAACTGATATTTTGGAAAAGGCTACGAGTGAGAGTGTAGCTGCAGTTTGAACGAAACTTGAAGCACTATATGAAAAAATCACTCGAAGAAACTTCTCCTGATTTAATGGTTCTTCAAATGCAAGATGATTGAGGGAACATCAATCGAGGATCAAATGAATGACTTTAATATAGACATTAATGATCTTGCAAGCACTTTAGTGGTTCTCTAATGAGAGGACATGAGACTATATCCGTAGAGGAAGTGAAGTCCGTGCTGTTCTCAAAAGAATGGCAGAAGAAATTGCAAGGCAATGATTAGAGAGGGGCACTAGCAACGGACCCAGATTTAGATCGAATCTAGAGCGAGAAGAAAATCGCTTAGATGTTACTACTATCAGAAAGAGGGGCACATTGCAAGCAATTTCCTTGAGCCAAAGAAAGCTAAGAGATCGGAGAGCAACAAGAATGTCACACCAGCCAAAATAACACCAGAGGTGATACAAAAGAACACTAGAGATGAGTTAACTAATTTCTTTTTTGGAAACTTAGCTCAAATCAAATCCAAAAACTCAAACTATTCGAACAAGGAAGATCACATATAGATAAGGCTTATAATCGAACCTAATAGTCAAGTAAGGTACGATAATACTTTAACAACTTTGACCGCTAAAATTTTAACCCCAAACCACGGATTTTCTCGACATTGACAACCTTAAAGTTTTGAATAAATTAGGACCTCATTAGAACGATGTTTTGTCTACTTTAGGACTAACTCGGTGGACTTGAAACAGGCTAAAATGGACCGTCCTTATCGGCCAAAGGGACGACATCACATCAGGATTTGGGTAACCTTCCAAGTGAGACTACAACGAATTATTGCTAAAAGCTAAACGTGCCCCCAATTTAAGGCAACAAATGAAAACGATGTTGAAAAGATGGACATCTTGATAGTCATAAAAAAACCCAATAAAAGTAGTGACACAAGTCTATATTTTACCATCTTATCAGTAGGACTGCAGACTTTTCTAATAAGAGGCCAAACGTATTAATTCTAGCATAAATATATGTGAGCCATGAAATTTTATAGAACTCGCATAAACAATGGGGCATATATGGGTGGTTCAACTATATATAGACGAAATCTCCCCTAAACTTTTGATCGTATGAAAGCATGTAATGAATTAATTGGCAAAAATCCCGATCCCCTACCACTTTCACGTACCTCTAAGGACACAGGTTACCTTCTGGATGAGAGGTTTTGCTAAATATACATGACCCACAACAAATTACCATTTTGCCTTCCAGTAGCTCATATGCATTAGGTTCATATGCAAGTTAGGTACACAATGAATTTTCCCTTTGAAAGCATTCTTTGTATAGTACGAAAAGGACTAGAGAGAAAATCGAAAAGGACATGCTTTACCAAGTACTTCATTTATTAGTAGCTCCTTCAAAGGTTAAGACCTTTGTAAATTTAGAAGAATTAAGGGGGAAAAGTTCAAAAGTCAAAGAATATGTCTTATATTTTGGTAAGAAGCACCAAATTGTTCTTTATGAGATTGGTTGAATCTACTTTGCGAGAATGAGACCATCAGTAGAAAAGAGAAGTTTCCAAAGGCAACACAAGTGGAGAGGAAATACAGACTTCCATTAATTTAAGTTCAGAGACAACATTGAATATTTTCTTATAGTTTAGGAACTAAATTAATCATATATTAAAAGTCTAAGGATAACATTGAACCAATTGAAAGTTCAGAGATCGCATTGCAATATAGTTTAGGAACCACATTACACATTGAGCTAAAGTTTATGGATTATTCGTGTTATTTTCTCCTTTCTTTTTTACTAAGTATGATAATGATATGTTGGAGATGCTTTAAACACATCGGTGCCGTCACGACAAAGAAATTCATTTTTCATATGTCAATTCTGAGTTCATGGAATGCTCCAATATCAACTTGGATGAAAGGGTGAACGATTAGGAAGATTATTCAAATCTCACATCCCGATAAACTGGTGTCGAATGGAGAAAAGGGCTCGATGACGGTTAACGTTTTAGAGACTAAATGGGCTCAAAAGCAGTTTCCACTTCGTACAAAAGATAAGATAACCGTTGATAAATAGGTGTCATCGCATGAACGGTAAAGATAAAATCAACGATAGAGATTGGATACAACACCAAGAATAGTTACCAAGTTTGCGCTATAAATAGCACCTGATTACCAATAGAAAGGGCCCCCCGGCACACATGAAAAACAAATATTGTCTTTTATCTTTACTTCCCAGTTTCGCACTTTCAGCTTTCATAGTTATAATCTTTATTTCTCAGTTTCGCATTTTCAGTTTCTTTAGTAGTTGCTCAAGTCTTTGTAATTTCGGACGCGACCAGCAATTGGATGGATTCGTCTAGATTTTCTATATAAATCAAGTTTCTTATTTACGCCTGGATTGCTCCTGTCCGGAATTAGATCTAGAACTCAGTCTCCTTTCATTAAGAGCCGAAGAACGACTTTCGGTGAATTATATTTCGTCGTGAGGACATTTCCGACGAAACAATTAGTATGAAATTTTTGTGTTCTAACTAGAAGGGGCATGAAAATAGGGTCACTTTATGATTGACACGCTAATTTAGTATAAAAAGTTTACCCGTGCGTTATCCGGACTTAAAGTCGCCACTTATGGATGACTGGACTGGGGTAGAAGTACAGTTTAGACTTGTTCGTGGTCCTTCTCTTCTCTCACGTATAACAACAATTTTGTGGTAAGACTGAGACCTTTCGAAGTTGTGTCCGAATCTTCGAATAGACTTGTTCGTGGTCCTCCATGTGCTTCCTCCATCGATGGTGGAATAAAAGCTTGCAAGTGGCAAGCCCTCCCAAATGCATGACTCGCCTCTACGTCGTCACCACTCCTCTTGGAATTATCCTTGGAAAACGTACCTGTGAGATTTGAATAATCTTCCTAATTTTTCACCCTTTCATCCAACTTGATATTGGAGTATTCCATGAACTCGGAATTGACATATGAAAAATGAATTTCTTTGTCGGGACGGCACCGATGTGTTCAAAGTATCTCGAACATATTATTATTATTATTATCAAGATCTATCAGAAAATTAAAAAAGAACACCTCATTATTAGGAAAAAGAAAGAAGTTCTTCATGATTTTTTAGAGAAGTCTGTATTTCCTCTCCACTTGCGTTGCCCTTGGAAACTTCTCTTTTCAACTGATGGTCTCGTTCTCGCAAAGTAGATTCGACCAATCTCATAAAGAACAATTTGGTGCTTCTTATGTTAGTTTCGATTTTCCGTCTATGCCAAATTACTATAATAAGAATGCTTTAAAGAGAAAATTTATTGTGTACCTAACTCACGAGTGAACCTAATGCATATGAGCTACTAAATGGCAAAATGGTTAATTACCGTGGGTCATGTATATTTAGTAAGACCTCTCCTTTAGAAGGTAACATGTGTCCAAGTTTTACCTAAGTGGTTTAGTTAATCTCACCACTAAGACTTTAAATTTTAGATTTCCCAACAACTTGAGAATAAATAGTAGGATGGCGAACCCGAAAATATTTTAATTCTTTTTTAATAGGTCAACGGAAATCTAGATTATAGGAACCCAAGGTGATAGGCTAACCTCCTTTAGTTTTGCAAAAATTCGAGGTACCACGGGAATATACGTATTCATATATAAACTTCAAACAATAGGGGTGAAATTTTAGTCGGAAAAAGAAAAAGTAAGAGAGCGGATTATATAAGAATAGAAGGGATAAGGATAGATTAATGAAAATAAATGTTATTGGGTAAGTTAAACTTGGTTTTATTTATTAAATTTAAACGGCAATACGTGTTTTTTTTTCTGTATCTGTAATATCAAAACTATTATCAAAAAAGAAAAATAGGAAGAAAAGAGGGAAGAATTCCATAGAAATAGAGATAACCCTTCCCGATACAGTAGATATTATTATTATCTATATATTGAATAGAACTTACATGTGGGAGAGAGGAAAAAACTACATTGCATACAAAAGTATCTAAATAAAGTTGGAAGAATAATTCTATTATTTTTTAACAATCAGTAAATAATGCGTGTAATAAATTGAACAGTTCATAAATTATTATCACAATTATACAAGATAAAATGAAACTATAGAATATATATGTATAGTAAAAGTTCGTGACTACATTTTTTTGTCGTGGAAAAGATTAAGAGTGTAAACGAAATATGCTAAGGATGACATAGATTTTGTTAAAATAACGGGAATAGTACTAGTGCACAAAAAGTAAAAGCAATTACAAATTATCTTTACGTCAATAAAAATAGAATGTTTTACAACTTGTGGGTCTTCTACTAGTAAATTACATGTTTCTCTTGACATGAAAGTACGATGATTATTAAGTAAATATGGATTTCATAACATTCTTCTTATATTGTTTTTATTGTATGTACTGAATAGCTTTTATTAAACGAAGTCTCCATGTCATGTTGCATGTTATGGATTCTTTTGTTGTAGACTTGCTGGATATTTGATGTACGTTGGATACGTGAAAAGCTAGGATGTATTAATTGATCACCTATGCCGGCACTTTGCATGTTTTCAATAATAAAAACCGACAATTATTTGCCCCATCCATTTTCATTTGTTCTAAAAATTCGATCACATGGCATGTTGGTATTTTTCAAAGTCTATAAGTTGCAAAGTGAATATCATAAAACATAGCGTACATAAAATGCAATATAAGAAAAAGTTTGAGATTGTTTATGTTATTCTCCCAATAAGTAACATAAAGACAAAGCCAAAGTAACACACTTCATGACTTGATACATCCAAAGACTAGTACCTTATACTTGGAAACATTCAGGGATTATCATTACCTTATACTTGTAGAAATGCAAAGATCATTACCTTACAAACGTAATTTATTCTAGAGGTAGGGATAGAGGACCTATACTAGGATTGTTTCATCTTCATCTTCATCGCCGGAGCGCAAAAGCTTCTCCACCACCTGGTTCATGGTGGGTCTTGCATCTCTGTCTTCCTCCACACACTGAAGAGCCACTGCAACCAAAACTTCAATCTTCCTAATGTCGTATTCCCCTGTCAGCCTTGGATCCACAATTTCCTTTATCCATGTTTCCATGGGGACTCCTGTTCTCTTCCTCTCTCTCACCCAAGAAGTCAACCTTTTGCTCCCATTCTCATCGCCACTCTCAGTATTTGCAAGCCCTCCTGTTGGACTCCAACCAGTCACCAGCTCCAACAGAACAATTCCATAACTGTAGACGTCTACTTTGGAGGTGATTGGCATATTGTAAACCCATTCAGGAGCCATGTAACCTCTAGTTCCTCGGATTCTTGAGAAGCTTGAATTCTTCAGGCCCTCCCTCTTGAGTATCTTCGACAGTCCAAAATCCGCCACCTTCGGTTGGTACACGGAATCAAGAAGAATGTTTTGTGGCTTCACATCACAATGAAGAACCCATTCCAAGCACTCTTCGTGAAGATAAGCGAGTCCCCTAGCCGACCCTACCGCAATTTCGAACCTCTTGGACCAATCGAGTTCAGTCGGAGAAGACAAATTTTCCGCTAGGGAACCATGTTCCATGAATTCGTAGATCAAAAGCCGGTGCTTTCCTTCTATGCAGTACCCCCACATGTCAATCAAGTTCATGTGGTTAAGATTTCCTATGGTGCTAACCTCCGCCAGAAACTCATTCTCACCTTGGTTAGCCTCATGGAGCCGCTTGACCGCTGCAACCCTGCAATCTGACAACACAGCCTTGTATACGTTTCCTCCATTTCCTCTTCCAATTTCTTCACTGAAATTCCGTGTTGCCTTCTTTAGCTCATCATACGTGAACCGTCTGAACCCAGTTGGCCCAGCGTGGTATCCATCAATGTGAGCTCCACCTTTCTCTCGGCGGGTTGCATATAAGAAGCACCAAACCATGAGTACAACTATGGCCTCCATTCCAGCTATAGCCCCAACGAAAATGAGCAAAATCTTGATTGCCAAACTCTCTTTTCGTTTTACGTAAGTCCTTGGTAGCAAAATTTCGTTTGCCGGACATTGCAAAGCAGCGTACTCTATCCTCGGTATTTTATAAGAGGAGAGATTGGATTTTGGGAGCTTGAAGTGGATGCCCCCAGCAACACCGGGTGAATAGTGACCATTCAACAGAAGCAACTTGGGGAAACATTTATAGTCTTTAAATTGGATACCCAAGCAATTGCACAAATCCAAGCATAATTTCTTGCACATTTCGAGAGTATAACTTGGAAAGTAGCCTATGTCATACCCATAAAAATCGGCATGTGGTAACTCGACTAATTCGGTTTCGACTTTGCTGTCACAGAAGCTGTTGAATTTAGCCTTGCATCCTCGAGTCCAATCGAAAAGGTTTTCCCTTTCATATCCGGGAGCACAAATGCAACTTCTTCCCTCTCTAGGGTGGTATGTACACATGCTATTATTTCCACAAATGCCATGAATTGTGCATGGGTCAGATTTGGCTTGCCATGAAACTAACCACTCCTCTCCTTCGGACCGACTATAAACTCGAACATTACCATCATAATCGACCGTTAATCTTCTCTGAACTTTTGCACCGTAATCGGATGTTAAGAATTTCAAATTATCAGATGAAGTGAAATTCCCGTAAGGATCAAGCATTGCAACTCTACTATCATTATAAGGTGCTCTTCCTGTGTCCAAACTACTAAGCCATGGATCTGGCCAATAGACACTGGTAACCTTAGGGCCATCAAAAAGAAGACGAAGAAGGTTATCATTGTCGAAATAAAGCCTGTAATAGCCAGAAGAAAAGTTGTTCTTACTTCGAGAGGAAACGAGCGGGGTGTTCCCAGTGAGCTTTTGTAGTGGAAGAAGCGTGTTGGTCGGCGAGTCAAAGCTTTGCCATGAAATGTCGTGCTGTTTGTCACGAAGGACAAGATTGCCAGTGTCAAGGAGTTGCAGCAACTTCATTGATGACCCGGAGGATGAACCGGTGCTTGTGGCCCAAACAACGGTACGATCAGCTTCAACCAGTACAAGGTCACCATTCTTTCTTAAAGAAAGCTTTGAAGATCTTCCGTTGACGGGCTGGTCGCGGTTTGCCATCCAAACTACGGTGCAGTTATGGATACTACAAGATGGTTTGGTGAACCAAATGGCAAAGCAATAAGCATTTTCTCCGACAGGATAAAAGCCCGCGGTAAAAGCACCATCTTCCGACGTCAAAGTGTCATCAGGTTTATCAACTGAAAGGGAGGAGCCTTCACGCAAAGTGAGACGAACTGAAGATGTAAGTGAAAAAGACAAGACCAGGGAGAAACATAGCAAGAGAAGAGGATTTTTCATGGCATTCATGAGATTCCAGTTGATCTCTTATGTATTATTAGGCATATAACGCGTTCCCGCACTCCACCTTGTTATATAGGACTTGGTGGTGCAACATTAGAACTGATTGGGTCTCGTTAAAAACATAAAAGTACGAAAATCTATATGGGAAAAAGAAAGCATACTTTGGTCATACTTTGACCAATGACCAGTAGTACGAAAATCTATATGGGAAAAAGAAAGCATACTTTGACCAATGACCAGTACCTTTCTCTTCCCTAATTATGATAAATAAGTTGACCCTCCAAGTTCCTCACTGCCAAAAGCTAAAGTGCCAAGTATTACTGCCAAAAGCTAAAGTGCGCCCCAATATTAGGACAACAAATGAAAAGGATGTTGAAAAGATGGACATCTTAATAGTCATGACAAACCCGATAAAAGTAGTGACATAAGACTAATTCTACTGTCTTATCAGTGGTCAGATCATATTGAGAGGCGATGAACCCCAAATAAATTTCATTAGGTATAATGAGTGAAAATTGTGCGATACATCTAAAGACCGGGGCAACGGCACCCACCAGCCTCCCTTGGATTCACCCGTGTATGTTATGATGCTCGGTGATAACTTATTTTGGGCCCAACCTCAACAGTTAATGGGAAAGAAAAGAAATCATTGTAGTACTAGATTTGGATCTGCGGGATCTGTAGTGACATTATAATATAACCTACTAAGGCCTGCTTAGTAACATTTATATTTCTTTGTTTTTCTATTTTTTTTTCCCCGGAACAAAAAAAGAACAGAAATTCGTTTAGTAAAAAAAATCTACTTTTTTGTTTCTGGAACAAAAAAGTGATCCGGGGATAAATTTGGAATAGAAACAAAAAACAAAAAAAATCTTTGTTTTTTGAACAAAAACAAGACACGATTTTTTCTAGAACCCTCCAAAAACAAAAAACAATCTGCCGGCTGCAACCCGCCCACCTCCGCCTCTCGCCGTCCTTCGCCGCCACCTACCAGCCGCCTTTCGCTGCTGCCTCCCGCTCGCCGACTGCCTCCCGCCTGCCGGCCACCGCCCACCGCCGGCCGCCTCTTGCCGTCGACCACTGTCCTTCGTCGCCCGACGCCTGTCACCACCCGCCACCAGCCGTCGTCCTCCGCCCCCAGCCGTCGTGCTCCACCGCCCGACGTCAGCCGCCACCCGACGCCGGCGGTCACCCACCACCGGCCGCCGTCCTCCGCCGTCAGCGGCCACCCACCACCGGCTACCGTCCACCGCCCGACGCCGACCGCCACCCGGTGCCGGCTGCCCTCGACCGCCGGTCACCTCCCACCCCCAGCCACCCGATCGGCGGTCACCCACCACCGGCCGTCGTCCTTCGCCGCCGGCCGCCGTGCTCCACCAACCAACGCCGGCCACCCTCCGCCGCCAGCCACCTCCCGCTGCCGCCCCCCGCTACTGGTCATCCCCGCCCGACGCCACCGTGATCCGCCGCCGGCCGACGTGCTTCGCCGCTGACCGCCGGCTGCCATCCTCCGCCTCCGCCGGCCGGCCACCTCCCACCACCGACCACCGTCCTCCACCGGCAGCCCATAAGGGAGAAACTTGTCCATGGAATAGAAATAGATCATTCGTGCCCTAACACGTTTCTATTCTTTTTCTATTCCATGAATATAAATTTTGCGCAGTTACTAAACGCGTTTTTTTCTCAGAAACTGTTCTAGGAAATAGAAATAGAAAAAATTATTTCTGATCAGAAATTGTTTCTAGGAACAGAAACGTTACTATGCAAAGCCTAAAATTATATATTTGTGTGGTATGAACTAATTAGAAGAAGGTGTAGCTTCGGTTGTGAAAATTAGATGAATATTTATTTTTTATAATCAGGCATGTTGAAATATTATCCAACATTACTTGACAACGGACATGCATGCTCTTTATATGTGGTCTCTTTCCTTCTATCAGTTGGAGTTTCTTTCTAATATGATATTAAAATCAATGATATCCCTTTCACATATGAGCATCCACTCCTATTAGTCAAATTTCGGCTTACACGTGAGAGGGGCCTTAAAATATTGTCTCATATCGCTTAACAACGGATTTGCGAGAAGTTTTGCAAAAACATCAAAGAAAGCCACACAAACCATATTCATATACCAAATCGACGATTAATCATGATCAATGGATTAGACAAATATCAATAATGGTCGATGGGCAAAGACTATAAGTAAAGTCTCTTCATTCCAAACGTTTAATCCAAATGTTTCTTACACGTTTGTCCACTGTTGCATATGATAGCGCACATGGCACCAACGACTCGGTGGGGACATTGAATTGGCAGCATGCCAGAGGCAAGTTTCTTCACAAGGGCAACCAGGAAATGACTTAGTCCGAATGACAGAAAATCTGACGTGCTTGACGGGGTGAGTCTCCGTCTAAGGACCAAAACCACACATGAAAAGAAAGAAAATTAGACAAAACTCTCCAGAATTTTGAAAGTGACATATATTTGTCCTGAAATTTCAAATGTTACGCAATATCTCCTGAACTTCCTACTGTAATTTTAACGAACGAGAAAGCTAACCCAAATTAACTCAAATCTTACAAACTAAATCAATGCGAAAATCGCTAAAAGAAATAAACGAGAAACAATAAAGGACACTTAATATTTATGTGGTTCGGTCCGACGTATCGATACCTATATTCACGGAAAGAGCCAGCAGCACATAATCAATTAATAATTAGAAAACCCAAATTACAATCTTACAATCACACACTTAAGTGTTTTTCACGCTTAGATTACACTAACATCCTAATTCATAATGGAAGTAAAAATACTCACAGCACAATCCACGTGTCCGATGCTCTCTTCCCACGAAAGAACGTGTGCCTCCTGCTCTTTTCGAGAGCTACTGTGCGGCCATTTTCACACACAAAGGAAACCACTCATTTTACCCTTGTGCGGCTATGAGAGAGAGAGCTACTGTGTTCTCCTTTGAAAACCCACGCCCTTCACTGTTCGGCTCTTCTTCAAGGCACCAGCAATAAAAGAATGGGCGGCCACACTTGATGAGAAAGAAACACACACTAGGGCTAGGGCTATGGCTAGAACCGAAAAAGAAAACCTATTTTATCTTATCTTTTTGTTTTTCTTTTCTTCTTGGCCCCACTAGCTTCTTTCAATACGCCCACAAATGAGAAGCAAATAAGTCCACTTGTTTGACCACGTAATAAATAAAAATATATTCACTAAAAATCTTGAAATTTATTTTGAAAGTTCATTTAAATCTTAAAACTTACAAAAAGTGCAATCAATTTCTATAACTTGTCAAATTGATTCAATCGAGTCCTAAAATTAACACTATCTAACTTACTAACGGAAAATACTGACGTGGCGCTAACGTGGCTTATTTTGATGTTTTTTCTTTCCTACGTGACGATGACGTGACTAAATTATAAAACATAAGACTAAAACAACGACGTTTTGACCCAAATTTTATTTTTAATACTAATTTTATTTAAAATAAATTTTAAAAATAAGCTAAATATTTTTTAAAAAAAAAGGAGGAGGAGGAGGACGGGGAGGGTTGCAAGCCCTCGCTGCCGCCGCCGCCCCATCATCTCCTAGAGGGGCTGGCGAGGGTGGGGGACGACAGGCGGGAGTTGTCGAGCCTCGGCTAGGGGCCGGCGACCTTCGCCTGTCACATCCTCAATTTCAGTCCCTGGAAAATGGCTATGGTTTAAGTGTGGTAGTTTTCCAATTGGAACCAAATTTTTACTCTTGTTTTGGAAAACGATATTTCGGATCCTTGGTACCCCTTCGTTTTGTTATTTTTGGGGAGACTTTTGTGATCCGAATTTCCAAACACTTTCTTCTTGAAAGTTGTTCCAAATATCATGAAGTTTTACATACTTTAATTTTAGAATTTTTGGAATTGATATGAGTGGTACGATGGCCTGATTTTCGGACCGTGTAAAACTGCCCAGAATGGGTATTTCGGTGATGTTCACACTGTTTTGATTTATACAAGCTTTTCTGGGACGATTTTGGAAACGTTTCCTTCACAAAAGTTGTTGAGAACGTCCTTTCTTATAACATGTATAAATTTGGGAATTTTCCGAGATGATTTGGATTCTGGACAAAGCTTAATTTGAGAAACCAGAGTCCCGTTTCAGCGAACTGTTTTTAGTCTGTCTTTGAGCTACTAAAAATGGTGTTTATAGAAAGATTCCGAATTTGTGTTCTTCACGAGAAATGTTTGGTAAAGTCTTGTTTATGACATATTCAAATTTGAGAATTTTCGGAGTCCATTTACTATATTTTCAAGCTCTATTTCGTGAACAGTGCAAAGCTGTTCGGTTTTATAAGATTTCCAAGATTTATCAATTTCTATTTGAGAACGTTGGAATCTCAACTTGATGTCTTTTGGTGATATTTAAGGACATTTCCGCGCCGAACCTCGGGTTGAATGAGATTATTATACGTGTTTTGTCGTAGAAAACCCTCGGAAATCAAGGAATTGATTATGATGCGGGTTTACGACTTGAGTGTCGATTAGTTGTTATTGTGCAAACTGATGGTGCTGAGTCATTGTGAGCCGAACCGACATTTCTAGAAGACCGAAATAGGCTCCGTGTTTGTTTTGTTGGGAAGAAACTAGAAGATAAGGCTTTGTCATGGTCAAAGCTTCTCCTTCAAGCTTCCATCATTAAGTTTCATTAATGCCATTAAATGGCCCTTGACTTAGAAGCCCTATTTCATGATGACAAGCATTAATAACATTAGACTTTGGAGGTCCTATCATTATGGCCTTGCCAAGGGAACCAACGTGAAGGCCATTCGGCCGTGAGGAAGGAAAAGAGAGAGAGAGAGAGAACCAATAGGGAAAGGATGAGTCTTAGCCTTCATCATTTAACCCATAAATGCTCATAAATACTTGGATGACATATGCCATGACTCAAGCAAGGCCATCATGACTTTGGTGCACATTAATACTTGGCTTCTTCTCCAAGCCTATTTGTCTATAAGGA